AGAGTAGTCTTGGTTTCAGATCCTTGCTTTTCATTACCTTGGCTACTTCATGCCATTCCCTTCTGGCCTATAGAGTTTCTGATGAGAAGTCATCTGACAGCCTTAGGGGAGCTCCTTTGTAGGTAACAAATTGCTTTTCTCTTGCTGCCTTTAAGATTCTCTTTGTCTTGAACTTTTGACATTTTAATTATGATGTGTCTGGGTGTGGGCCTCTTTGGATTCTTCTTGCTTGGGACTCTCTGTGTCTCCTGAACTTGTGTGACTTTTTACTTGACCAGGTTAGGGAAGTTTACTGCCATTATTTCTTCAAACAGGTTCTCTAACCCTTGCTTACTTTCGACCTCCTCTCGCACTCCTATTATACAAACATTGTTATGTTTCATGTCCCACAGCTCCCATAGACTGCCCTCCTGTTTTTTAATTGTTTTTTCTTTTTGGATCTCTAACTGTGTGATTTTTTTTCTGTCTTCTAATTCACTGACCTGATCCTCAGCTTCTTCTAATCTGCTGTTTATTTCTTCCAATGTATTCTTTATTTTTCCTATGTCATTCTTCATTTCCTTCATAGTTTCCATATCTTTTCTCATGCTGTTTAGCATCCTTACAATCAGTATTCTGTTGTATATCTGAGAGACTGCTTATCTCCATTTCATTTAGCTCTTTTTCTAGAGACTTCTCTTGTTCTTTCATTTGGGGCTTGTTTTTTTGGTCTCTCCATTTTGGCTGCTTATTTGGGTTTGTTTCTATGTATTGGGTAGGTCTGCTAGGACTCGTAGTCTTTTTGGATGGTCTCTGGTGCAGGCCAATGTCAGACGCTGTTTGTGACTGGCCTTGAGTACTCTGTTTGGAGCTATCAACACCGATGGCTTGAGGTCCCCTCTGTTGGGGCTGGGTGCATTTGGACAGCAGCAAGATGCACACCAAAGTCTGCTCTCCAAGGCCCAGATCCATTAGCAGATCAGGCAAAAAATTAAAGCACCCTGAGTTCTGCCTCTTCCTGCAGGCTGACTAATCTGATTCTCTCTCTCTCCTTTTTAAAATTTATTTTTATTGTTGAAAGTATTACAGGTGTCCCATTCCCCCCCCA